CCCATTATATTATTTTTAAATATAATTTTATTTCCCCTTTTTTCCTATTTTCTGATTCTTGTACTCTTATTTGTCATATGTTGGATCTCCTGAATTAATTCTCTACATTTCTTTTTTACTTGCTTATTTTCCATTTTTTCTCTTTTGTTGTTTCTTGGAGACTTACAAAGTTTTATCATTTAAGGTTTGTATTGCATATTTAATTTCTTCTATCCTATTTTAAATTTTGCTTTGATTTTTGAACCACAGTCTCTCTGGTTCAACTTCTTCACAAATTAAACCTGTCCCCGGTGACTTTAATTTTTAAGGTATTCTATCCAGGTAATCTTTTAATTTTTTCTTCATTCATCTCATCTTATTTGGAGTCTAGCATTTTTGTCCTGTTATATATTGAAGTTTCAGGTATGGAGAAGTTTTCATGAAAAACCTGAAGTTTTTCAAGCCATAACATGGAAAGAAATTTCTAAGAGGTTCATGTGGCTTTGTTTAGAAAAAAGTGCAAAGCCCTATTAAAGCACTCCATTTCTGAAATATGCAAAAAAACATGATACTTGACCAGATATAATCTCACTGTTGCCAAGTCCAGTGGATTTCTGTCAACGTATTATCTGCTCTCATGTCAGCCACTCAACAGCATCAAATGCAAGGAGCCATTCCCTCTTTCTTGAAGCTTCTTTTTCTTGTCTTCTCATCATTAACGTCTCCTAGTGCCTTCTCATCTAAATGATCTCTAAATATTGGAGTGTTCCTGGCCTCATCTATTCTCTATCCCTACTGTCTTTCACCCAGAGTCACAGCTTTAAATATCCCATTAATACTGTTGATTCTAAAACTTTCCTATCTTCTCCTGTCAATTTCAGTGTCCAATAGGCATTTCAATAGAAGGAATTCTTTTATTCCTTCCCTTGTATTTCCCAACTTGTAAAGGCTACCATGGTCTCCCCAGATCCTCACACAAAAAACAAGGATTCATCCTTGATTCTTCTCTTTCCTTTATTCTTGTGCATCCTACTCAATAAGTCCCATAGGTTCAATCAAAAAAACATACCTCCAATCCATCCACTCCTTTTCATCTCCAAGCAACCAGCTTTTCTTAACCTTTGCAGTAGTCTCCCAACTGATCTCTTTGCTGTTATTCTTGCATCCCATTCTTTATTTTATTTTTATTTTTTTTAAAGATTTTATGTATTTGTTAGAGAGAGTGAGCAAGTGAGTGAGAGAGCCAGCAAGTGAGAGAGCACGGGCAAGGGGAGAAGCGGACTCCCCCCTGAGCAGGGAGCCTGATGCAGGGCTCGATCCCAGGACCCCAGGATCATGACCTGAGCCAAAGGCAGTTGCTTAACTGACTGAGCCACCCAGGCACCCCCTTGCAACCCATTCTTCACATAGCTGATAATTTTTTTTTTTTAAAGATTTTATTTATTTATTTGACAGAGAGAGACACAGCGAAAGAGGGAATACAAGCAGGGGGAATGGGAGAGGGAGAAGCAGGCTTCCCGCGGAGCAGGGAGCCTGATGCGGGGCTCGATCCCAGGACGCTGGGATCATGACCTGAGCCGAAGGCAGACGCTCAACGACTGAGCCACCCAGGCGCCCCAGCTGATAATCTTCTAAAAAATATAATCCTTTTAGTGACTTTCTATTGCATTTAGAATAAAGTCAAACTCATGACTCTGGCCTAAAAGATCTTTATGATCTGGCCTCTATCATAATATCCATGTTTAACTGTTGCCTCTTAATTCATTCAACAATTATTATTATTTTTTTAAAGATTTTATTTTTTGACAGAGAGAGACAGCAAGAGAGGGATCACAAGCAGGGGGAGTGGGAGAGGGAGACCAGGCCTCCCGCTGAGCAGGGAGCCCGATGCGGGGCTCGATCCCAGGACCCTGGGATCATGACCTGAGCCGAAGGCAGACGCTCAACCAACTGAGCCACCCAGGCTCCCCTCATTCAACAATTATTTATTGAGTATTTACAATGTGTTAGAGACTGAGCTAGGCACTGGGGTCCCTATCACAGTAAATTGGTCTCTTTTTTGTTCCTAGGATACTTAGAATCTTTAAGTCTGCTGTTCCCTATGCTTGGCATGTTCATTCTTAGCTCTTTGCACAGATTTATTCTTTATCATTCTTCAGATCTCAGCATAAATGTCATTTTCTCAGAGGCCTTTTTTGATAATCTGATTTAAAATATCTACTGAGGCGCCTGGGTGGCTCAGTTGGTTAAGCAACTCCCTTCAGCTCAGGTCATGATCCTGGAGTCCCAGGATCGAGTCCCACATCAGGCTTCCCACTCAGTGGGGAGTCTGCTTCTCCCTCTGACCCTCTCCCCTCTCATGCTCTCTCTCATTCTCTCTCTCTCAAATAAATAAATAAAATCTTTAAAAAAAATAAAATAAAAAATCTACTGACTCCTTTTCTATTATGTCATCCTATTTAATTTCTTCATAGCCTTTTTCATAATCTCTGCTTATTTATTTTCTGACTGTTCCCTCCCCTGTCTCATTTTAATGTAAGCTCTTTGAGGGTAGAGAACCTGTCTGTCTTGATCATGGTATCCTCAGTGCCTAGAACTTTTTCTGAAGGCCTAGAGCAGTGCCTGGCACATACAATATCATAAATATTTTTAATAGATTAACTTGATTGGGATGGGTTCAGGACAAACTATACAGAGGGGGTAACATTGAGTTCAGTCTTAAAAAATAAGGGTTTGTTTATTTAGACATTTATTATTGGGCTGAATAATCAATAATAATGAAAGTATTTATTTTGGTTACACATTTATCCTGATTATGAACATTAACATAGCCTAAGAATCACTGTAGGTGAAGTAGCTTGGTCTTTTTTTTTTTTTTTTGAAGAATTTATTTATTTATTTGACAGAGAGAGACACAGCGAGAGAGGGAACACAAGCAGGGGGAGCGGGAGAGGGAGAAGCAGGCTTCCCGCTGAGCAGGGAGCCCAATGCGGGGCTCGATCCCAGGACCCTGGGATCATGACCTGAGCCGAAGGCAGACGCCTAACGACTGAGCCACCCAGGTGCCCCGAAGTAGCTTGGTCTTAATGTCATTCAGAAAAACTTCCTTTGGGATCATTTGGAGGCTAGCATTTTTGTCCTGTTATCAAACTTTGATTTTCTGTTCAGAGTTAAAAGCATAAAGAGGGGCTTCTGGGTGGCTCAGTTGGTTAAGTATCCAACCCTTGATTTTGGCTCAGGTCATGATCTCAGGGTTGTGAGATCAAGCCCCACATTGGGCTCCAGCTCAGTGTTGCATCTGCTTGAGCTTCTCTCTCTCCCCTTTCCTGTGCCCCTCCTCCCTCTCACCTGTGCTCCTGCTCTGTCTCTTTCAATAAATAAATAAAATCTTTTTAAAAAGCATAATAGAATAAGGCTTTAAGAATAATGACAATAACTGAAATGAATCTTGGTAGTTATTATAATTAACAACTAATCAGATCATTTAAAATATACTCACCACTCATTACCAGGCATTGTGTATAGAACCTGGCTTACAAAAACATTTTGGAAAAATACTTATACTGCACTTAAGATTGATGCCAATTTTGGAGACTGGAATTCTCCACTTTTCTCTCCCCAGGAAAAGTGAGCTTCTGTGCTTGGCCACTCTGTTCCCATTTTCCATGTGGTGAATTGGGAATGTGATACACAGCACAAGTCTTCTCTACTTAACAAAAACTTAGACTCCAGGCTTTGTCATATGCATGTATAGTGTATTTCATATAAGGCTGTTGATCTATCACAAAATCATATTATTCATACAAATACTGCAAAATCATAGGAAAATTAAATAATTCTGATGAATACAAAATGCCCAGTGGGGAAAAAATCTAGAAGAGCAGTCTAAAACTTAAAATATTTTTGAATGCAGAATTTATCCCATGAACTTCTTATATCTTTCATGTTGTAAGTTGCAACAATTTGATCGAGTCATGCTTCCTTATTGGTCTTTTTATTTTAAACATCCATCCTGATTGTTCAGTGGCATTTTGGGTATTTTGGGGAATTCTTTTGTAGTTTAATACATGTAATAGTTTCATAATTATCTCCTGCTTATAGTAGTTATGGGACTAGCTAGGTAATAGATCTGAATTTGGAAACAAGTCAGGGGAAGCTTTTTAAGGTCAGTGGATAGCTGTCTGGAAGTAGTTTTGAAAACAAGAGCTCTGTTTATGGGGGAAAGAAGCCCTTTGTTGCTCCTGTCGCTCCAGGTAAAGAAATTATACCACAGCCCACCCCACTGCCATACCAGAAACTGTGAGGTCATGGCAGTGGCTCAGCTTACAGATGACTGTTTCCAGGATGCCTTCTCTAGCCACAGGCTGAGTTAGTGCCACCACAATACTTATGGAAACAGAATCACATTGTAGTCCTGTTACTTGCTGACTGTAGGTTTTCTGAGCCCCAGGACTGTACCCTTCCTTCCTCTTATCTACACAGAATAGTACACTGTCTGACAGACATGTAGATACTCAGTACATATTTGAATGAATACATGATTGAATGAATACGGTATGATATGACATAACATGCTGTGAATATAGCTAGTGCAAATTAGAGTAAGTTCAAGATCCAGATACTTGCCCAAGGAGGAGCAGCCAGGAGAGAGCTCAGGTCTAATCACAGTTACTAGAAATTCATTCATTGGGAGATCAGAATTAAGTTGTAAGAAATCTAGTCTCTAGAGGGAAACATTTGATGGAAAAATAATACAGGGAGGAAAAGCATATATTTCCTTCTCAGAGAAACCTCTTTCTGTTGGTGAGGGGTGGACGTATTGGGGTATGGAAGAGAAAACCAGGTAAAAGGGCAGAGTTAATGCAAATAAATACAGTAAGAAGTAGAGATTCATATGCTAGTTTTAGAGTTAATCCAGAATAGTTTTTAAAGTAATAAATTTTATATGTATTTAGAAAAATAAGTACTTTTTAATCACAATTTCATGTAAATACTTTAAAAATAATTTTTCTTTACACTACCTTCACAAGCAGAAGTTGGTTGTCAACTGCTATGAGCTGATTAAGATTCTCCAGTATTTCTAGGTCTTTTATGTCATCAATATTGTTATTGCTGATATTCAATATAGAGAGGGATTTCTGTAAGAAAAATAGCATTAGTAAATAGTCTAATTAAATGCTGTATATAGGAAGCAGAAATCTTAATCTGTGAAAAATTTAAGATTTATCAGTTCAGGTTGTTTTACTCTTTTTTTTTTTTTTAAGATTTTTTATTTATTTATTTGACAGAGAGAGAGATAGCGAGAGCAGGAACACAAGCAGGGGGAGTGGGAGAGGGAGAAACAGGCCTCCTGCTGAGCAGGAAGCCTGATGTGGGACTTGATCCCAGGACCCTGGGATCATGACCTGAGCCGAAGGCAGACGCTTAACGACTGAGCCACCCAGGCGCCCAGGCTGTTTTACTCTTTAGGCAAGAAAATTAAAAGCCATGGAGATTTTGTTTTTATGCTGTATTTTTTTCAGACATAACTTTAAGGACTTTAGTAATTGTGACATGACTTACTATTTTTGTCTAAAGTTCCTTCATGAGTCTGATTTTCCTCTTCTGGAATATAAAAGAAATTTATAGAAAAAAGAAGCCAGGAATCAAGAAGCAAAGAAAGAGAAAAGATGCCCCAACAAACAAATGATAACAGTGTAGAAAAATGCTTATTTCAGTTTAAGGAAATTATCATTTTCTGTTAACTGTCACTAAGATTTATACTTACATAGGAAGAAATAGTTTTTGTCTGTTTTCCTAAATAGGAAAAATGACTAAAAGATTTATCTGGTTTAATTTTTTTTAAAGATTATTTATTTATTTATTCATAAGAGACAGAGAGAGAGAGAGGCAGAGGGAGAAGCAGGCTCCCCGCTGAGCAGGGAACCCGATGTGGGACTCAATCCCAGGACCCTGGGATCATGACCTGAGCTGAAAGCAGACGCTTAACCATCTGAGCCACCCAGGCGCCCTGTCTGGTTTAATTTTTATCTTTGTCTCTCTCTATAGTTTTCTCTTGACAATCCGTATGTTCAGAAGGCACTTAAAATAACGATTAGCTAATTAACAAGCAGTATCAACATCAGCTGTTAGTGAGGACATAAATATACAATAGAGAACACTAAACCAAAGCCATCTTAAAATCTATGGCCTAATAATTTCTATCAAGATTGAGTCGACCCACCAAGGCATCCATAACCAACCTTTAGAGAAAATACTTCTTGATACTTCTTAAGAATTTAAATACAACTTAAAAAATTATGCCTTATATTTAGAATTTTGGAATCTGCTTGAATCTATGCAAAAATTGAGCAAGCAAAAATGTTTGTACTGGTGTTTGTAATAAAACTGGCCATCCCCACAGAGGGATCAATTTATTTGGGTCAGTTGAGGTGAGCTGAGACACATTTGATTCTATGGGGAGGATAGGGAGAGGGTAGGATAGAAATCAGATCACTTCTTTCTTTTCCAATTTAAAGGACTATTTTTCAATTTTTATAACTTTGGTTCACAAACCTTCTATTGCCCTCTGTTTCTGAGCACTCTAAAATAAAGCCAATGAAATCTGTAAAAACACAACCTGTTCCCTTTACATCTCTTGCCCCGGAATTGAAGGTAGCGTATCCTAATAAATCCCATTTTGAGAATTAGCAAAAGCCTCCACTGAACCCTCTGGCTTCTCAACTAACTGTGACACCTTCACAATGTAACTGGGTGTCAGGTCACAGTGGGAGCATCGAATGTAGTGCTTCCAGATCTACCTGCTTCTGAGGAGGCAGAGCTGATGTAGTGCAACCTACAATCAAATCAGAATCCAGCAAGAAAACAATTATCATCATCATGATTCTTTAAGTTGTTTAAAATTTGCCAAATAATTGTGCATGACTCTTTCCTTAGGCTTTTTCCTAATATTATAAATTTTGAATCATAATAATAACCAAGGCTGAAATTATGAATGCATTGACATCTGGATTAGAACCTAATAATTTACATAACCGTTCCACATCCTTCTTTTGATCCTTTTAGTACCATAGAGGCAGGCATTATTATTCTCACTTTATAGCTGCTGAGTCTCTGAGAAATTATGTGAGAAAAGTTAGTTTTAATCCTCAAATAAATTCTCAACTGTTTGGAACCAGAAAAGGCCCTGAATAGCCAGAGGAATTATGAAAAAGAAAACCAAAGCTGGTGGCATCACAATCCTGGACTTCAAGCTATATTATAAAGCTGAATCATCAAGATGGTAATGGGTACTGGCACAAAAACAGACACATAGATCAATGGAACAGAACAGAGAACCCAGAAATGGAACCTCAACTCTATGGTCAACTAATCTTTGACAAAGCAGGAAAGAATATCCAATGGAAAAAGGACAGTCACTTCAATAAATGGTGCTGGGAAACTTGGACAGCCATATGTAGAAGAATGAAACTGGACAATTTTCTTACACCATACATAACAATAGACTCAAAATGGATGAAAAACCTAAATATGAAACAGGAATCCATCAAGATCCTAGAAGAGAACACAGACAGCAACCTCTGTGACTTTGGCTGCAGCAACTTCTTGCTAGACACATCTCAAAGGCAAGGGAAACAAAAGCAAAAATAAACTATTGGGACTTCATCAAGATAAAAAGCTTTTGCACAGCAATGGAAACAGTCAACAAAACTAAAAGGCACCTACAGAATGGGAGAAGATATTTGCAAATGACATATCTGATAAAGGGCTAGTATCCAAGATCTATAAAGAACTTTTCAAATTCAACACCCAAAGAACAAATAATCCAATCAAGAAATGGGAAGAAGACATGAACAGACATATCTCCAAAGAAGACATCCAAATGGCCAACAGACACATGAAAAAAATGCTCCACATCACTCGGCATTAGGGAAATACAAATCCAAACCACACTGGGATATCACCTCACACCAGTCAGAATGGCTAAAATTAGCCACTCAGGAAACAACAAATGTTGATGAGGATGCAGAGAAAGGGGAACCCTCTTACACTGTTGATGGAATGCAAGCTAGTGCAGCCACTCTGGAAAACAGTATGGAGTTTACTCAGAAAAAAATAGAGCTACCCTATTGCCCAGCGATTGCACTACTAGGGATTTATCCCAAAGATATAAATGTAGTGATCCCAATGTTCATAGCAGCAATGTCCACAATAGCCAAACTGTGGAAAGAGTCCAGATGTCCATCAACAGATGAATGGATAAAGATGTGAGATATATACATATATATATATATATATATACAATGGAATATTACTCAGCCACTGGAAAGGACAAATATTTACCATTTACTTTGACGTGGATGGAACTGGAGGGCGTTATGCTGAGCAAAATAAGTCAATCAGAGAAAGACCATTATTATATGGTTTCACTCATATGTGGAATATAAGAAACAGCATAGAGGATCATAGGGGAAGGGAAGGAAAACTGAATGGGAAGTCATCAGAAAAGGAGAAAAACCATGAGAGACTCTTAACTATAGGAAACAAACTGAGGGTTGCTGGAGGGAAGAAGGGTGGGGGTGTGGGGTAACTGGGTGATGGGCATCAAGGAGGCACGTGATGTTATGGGCACTGGGTGTTATATGCAACTGATAAATTATTGAATACCACAACTGAAACTAATGTACTATTGTTGGCTAATTGAGTTTAAATTAAAAAATTCTCAACTGGCCATATAAACATACAGAGTATACATAATGTCCAAATATACCTTTGCTACCTTCCTGTTCCATTATAACTGTTAATAACTATATTCTTTGTCAGAATACTCAAATGTGGCCTTACTGCCAGAGAATGAAGAGTTCTTGGATCAAACAGAAGCTTTTCTCCAAGGGGAAGCCTCTGACTCTCAACATGAAGCTCTCTTAGTCCTTCTAATCCTTCTAAACCTTCTATGACAGCAATGTAATTGCCTCCCAGATACCTGCAAAATATAAAACAATTTTAAATAGACATTCTGAGAACATCATGGTCTGTAAACATGATAAAAACATAACAATCACTGAGCTGAGTGAAAACTACATATGTGGAAATATGCAGAATCTTCTTTGTAATGAATCAATGAAAGGTTTATTTATATGATTCTTACACTTAATTTAGTCTAAGAAATAAGTTTATTTTTTTTTAAGTGAGAGAATTGGAATAGTCGTTATTAAATGATCTGCCAGTATTCTTTTTATATGTTGGGGTGAAGAATCATCTGGGTAGGTTTTTTTTTTTTTTTTAAGAATTTATTAATTTATTTGAGAGAGAGAGAGTGAAAGAGAGCATGAGGGGGGTGGAGGGAGAGGGAGAGAGAGACTCCCTGCTGAGCAGGGAGACCAACACAGGGCTCCATCCCAGGTCCCTGAGATCATGACCTGAGCTGAAGGCAGATGCTGAACCAATTGAACCACCCAGGCACTCCATGGGTATTAGGTTTAAAAATGGAAGATTTTTGGGCCTAACACCAGAGATTCTCATTTGGCTATCTAGGTCAGAACCCAGCAATCTGCATTTTTAATCAGCATTTTCTACCCCACTCTCTTCCCATTCTGAGGTTCTTAGCCCACTTTTTGAGAAGCACTAATAATTCTTCCAATCTGGGAAAATTGAATACACCAGTCTTCATTGTTGAGTTAAAATCATTATAGGCAGTAAATGCCTTTTTACAGTCAAATCAACAGTATCAACTCTATGACCCTGCCCCTTTGAGATGTGTGATTCTGAAAGGAGAGCTCATCTGGTTTCCATGGAAACTTTTTTCACCAGTTGTCTTTTTTTTTTTTTAAATCTTTTTTTTTTTTAATTTTTATTTATTCATTTGAGAGAGAATGAGATAGAGAGAGCATGAGAGGGGGGAGGGTCAGAGGGAGAAGCAGACTCCCTGCTGAGCAGGGAGCCCGATGCGGGACTCGATCCTGGGAATCCAGGATCATGACCTGAGCCGAAGGCAGTTGCTTAACCAACTGAGCCACCCAGGCACCCCACCAGTTGAGTCTTTAAGGATGCTTTAGGTATCCTTATACGTGGTTAAGACAACTCACCCGCCTGCAAAAGAAAAGTATATCAGGCTTAATGAAACAAATTGCCAAGTATTACATGTGTAACAGGTTTTTTTTGTACTAATAATACTATAGGAGAATAAAAATTGAGGTCTGTTCCACAAAACTGCAGATAATGGAAAGGCCTGTATGCAAAAATATTACTGTAATGATGACGAATAATTACATTACTTAAAAATAAAAGCACTTACAGTTTTTCCAGTTTCTTTAATGACCTGAGGTTCTCTATACATGAAATACAGTTGTTTTGTAGATATAAGTGGGTCAGATTTGTAGCATAATTCAAGTTAGTCATTTGACTAATACGGTTATCATACAAATATAAAACACTGAGATTTTTGCAAGGAGAGAGGTCTTCCTAAAAAGAAAACAAAAACAGGTCATACTTAATTTCTCCTGAAAATTTAGAAGTTTGTTTTTAAGAAAGTTTTTCACTTAATCATTCTGCAGTTTTCCCTAAGTTTAATATAAAAGAACAGCATTTCTCTGTTCTTAGCACAGTCAAAATGAGTCTCGAATGATTGTAAAATTTGTTCTAGGTTTTAGTATTCTGTAACTATATCGATAAGCAGTTTTCCTTGGAAGCAATTAGGTTCCTCTGGAAGTTGGAAGTATTTAACAAATTATTGCTTCAACATTATAAATCAGGGTTTTTTTTTTAAGATTTTATTTATTTGAGAGAGAGAGAGAGTGAGAGCAAGAAAGAGAGAACATGAGCGCAGTGGGGGAGTAGGGGTGGAGGGAGAGGCAGAAGCAGATGCCCTGCTGAGCAGGGAGCCCAAAGTGGGGCTCAATCCCAGGACCCTGAGATCATGACTTGAGATCATGACCTGACCCTGAGGCAGACACTTAACCGACTGAGCCACCCAGGCGCCCCTGTAAATCAGGTCTTAATCTTTCTGTAGGATTAGAAGTAAACTTGTTTATGATACTGAAAATGGGAAGTCATATAGCTATTCAAGAGCAATAGATTAATAAACTATGATAATGCTATTGAAGGGAATACTGTTTAACCATTAGATATCCTTTAGTTTCTTTAGTAATATTTTGTAGATCTCAAAATGAAAACAGTACATTCAATATGACCCACTATTGTAAAATTATATGAATACATGCCTAGAAAAAAGACTGGAAGGATACCACCTACATGTTAATAGTGGTTTTCTCTGCATGATGGGATTATGCCAGTTTCTTTTTATATGTATTTCATAGAAATGCACACCAGTTACTTGTTTTTTTCTGATTGAGAAATTTTTATTGATAAGTAACTGTTAGGAACATTCATTTCTCTTAAGTCTGCTGTCAACTATAATCTACAAAAGCAAATTACACTTAAATTATAATGTTCAACAAAGTGAATTAAACAAACAAAAAAGGCAGCCACCAATGAACAAAGTGCAATGTGTTTTCTCACACCAGTTACTTTTGAGATAAGAAAATAATTAAAGGTGGGGTGCCTGGGTGGCTCAGTTGGTTAAGCGACTGCCTTCGGCTCAGGTCATGATCCTGGAGTCCCAGGATAGAGTCCCACATCGGGCTCCCGGCTCAGCAGGGAGCCTGCTTCTCCCTCTGACCCTCCCCCCTCTCATGTGCTCTCTCTCTCTCAAATGAATAAAATCTTTGGAAAAAAAAAAAGAAAATAATTAAAGGTATTTTTTAAAGTCTGCCATTTCTTATGTGGTGGTAGAGTCAGCTAGAGTAAGTAGGCAAGAGGTAAAGTTAAGTTATGCTCAAAAGTACCTCAGGTTGGGGTGCCTGGCTGGCTCAGTTGGTGGAGCCTAAAACTTTTGGTCTTGGGGTTTTAAGTTTGAGCCCCACATTGGGCATAGAGATTATTTAAAAAAAAATAAAATCTTAAAAAAAATCTCAGAGATTTTAAAAAATATAACCACATCTTGGGAATCTTAAGTTTACAAGGTGTTCTTAGTGTGAATTTTTTTTTTTTTTTTTTTTTGAGAGAGAGAGCACGGGTGCACGTGCATGCGATAGGGTGGGGGGAAGGACAGAGGGAAAGGAAGAGAGAGAATCCCAAGCAGGCTCCATGCCCAGTGCAGAGCCTGACGTGGGGCCCAATCTCATGACCGTGAGATCACGACCTGAGCCGAAATCAAGAGTGAGACACTTAACCAACTAAGCCACCCAGCCACCCAGGTGCCCAACTGAATTATACTTGGCCCTTGAACAACATGGATTTGAACTGCATGGGTCCACTTATACATGGATTCTTTTTCTGTAAATACTGTACAATACTGTAATGTATTTTATCTTCCTTATGATTTTCTTAATAACATTTTCTTTTCTCTAGCTTACTTTATTGTAAGAATACAGTATATAATACATATAAAGAATATGTGTTAATTGACTTTATGTTTTCAAGACTTCTGGTCAACAATAGACCATTGGTAGTTAAGATTTTTGGGAATCAAAAGTTATACAAGGATATTCAATTGTGTTGGGTGGTAGGATGTTGGGGAGTGTGGGGGTGTTGGTGTCCCTAACTCCTGTATTGTTCTAGGGTTAACTGTACTTTAACTAGTTTGCTTTCCTCCTAAAAAGATCATCTAAACCAAAGGAGCACTGATTGTGAGGGGACAAAAGAACATTAAATGGAGGCTCTCTGCAGAGGGCAAGGCTGTAATGGTATGATGAGGTAGAGAATTTTCTGGGCAATTGGATTCATGGGGAGAAGAATCACTAAGAAACTGGAAAGAAGGGATGCTGGGTGGTTCAGTCAGTTAAGCGTCTGCCTTTGGCTCAGGTAACGATCCCAGAGTCCTGAAATCGAGTCCCACACATAAGGCTCCTTGCTCAGCAGGGAGCCTGCTTCTCCCTCTGCCTACTGTTCCCCCTGCTTGTGTGCTCTCTGTCTCTCACAAATAAAATAAAATATAATTAAAAAAAAAAAGAAACTGGAAAGAAATACAGAATAGGAACTTGGTAGGGTCTTTGCAAAAAAAGAAAAATATCTTAATTGACAATTGTGCCTGGGGCTTTGGTATTTTTTTCATTCATTTTGATAAACATTTATTAAGCATTTAATATGGGTTAGGTGCTGTGTTGGATGGGGGGATTTAGAGTGATGTGAACAAAACAGACATCATCCCTGCCCTCATGTACCTTATATTTCTGAGGAAATTTCTCTCATTAGCATTTTATTGTAGACAATGGACACCAATCCAAATAGCCTAAAAGGGTTTTTGCTCCTTTTAAAGTTTCCCAAATTAAAGCCAAGAATTAGCTTAACACAGAGAAAATATAGTGTCAGAGTATATCCAAACAAACATAATCTTGTCTGATATAAATTATAGTATAACTTCCATTTATATAACCAGTTAAATTATGAGTGAAAAAGATTTCACTGTTAAAGTTTTGAAATAAGGTATTTGCATAGTTAAATCTTGCTATCTTGTTAAAAAAACCTCATATTCCAAGGACCTGGAATTATACAAAAGTATTATCTTTGAAATTATTTTCCAACATACACTTTCAAATCTAGTTTGCTACATTATAGAATATTTCAGGGGGACATATATATTTAGCACATATATTTAACAATCATGATGGTATATTTTATAGAGACTTAGTTTTAATAATTGTAACATCAAAAGCAGGAAATTAAAATGAAAACACAATATACTAATCAAAATACAGTTAATAAGTATGATCAAAATATAGTTAATAAGAATGTATTTTCTGACACCTATTTTCAAACTTTACATTGTTAATTATGTAAAAATAGGAAATAATTTCAGAATTCTTACAATTGCATCTATATTTTTGTCTGAAAAATTTATATGAGTTATTTTCTTCAGGTATTGTGAAGTGGTTTCTTCTTTTCGGGGTTTAAGATTGCTATTTTTGGCAATTAAATCCAGGGTTAGTCGAACCATGATTTCTCTCTAAATCAAACTCTCAGCAGTAGCTCGGTTCTAATACCATGTCAAAAGTAGGTTTAGGCATTGTTTTATGCCCAACTTTCTAAAAATAAAAGAAAAAAAGGAATATTATGTACATTGTAATTTAGGAAAAATTATTTTGACTTTTTAATTTTCTTATATAAAACTATGTGATAGCTACTTCAGAGACATTTTAAAGACACTTAGGTATTTTCTAAGTTTATAGACTTAATTCTTTTTATAAAAAGATTTAAAACATCAAAATTAATTAAATATACAATGCTCATTCACTTCTACTTTTAAATCTTTTCCTCTCCTTAGTACTGAGTTGTTACTGTTGGCATCTTTTAAAGGATTTTTTTTTCCTCTAAAGAAATATCATCTGATGTTCTCATGTGAAGACACTAAGGCTCATAGATTTGTCTCAAACTACTCAAGGTAGTGGCAGTTGGGAATGAGACCAAGTCTTCTGGCTCCTTTTTTCATAGTGCCCATGGTGATCATATTTTCTAAACCCTCAAAACAGAACACATTGTGGGAGAACCTTGATTATGTACGTAGGACAAGGGTGCAAAATACTTGAAAGTGGAGCAGGCTTTGAAATTTTATGTTACTACAACTGTAATCCACAAAGAGGCAACATAAGACAGTGTTTTTGAGTCCAGACTGCCTGCGTTCAGATTTTGGCTCCATTGCCCCCTGATTAGGCAATCTTGGGCAGGGTACATCAGTTTCTTTTTTTTCCCCGTGTACCCCCATTCCCAGTACAGACCAGGCAAAGGGCCTGGGCTGAGGTGTATTTGGTGGGTTTACTCTGCTTTCTCTTTCTGTACGGTCCATGTAAGAACACAGCCTGTGGTAAGCACCAGGACACTACGTTACCTCTGTTTCTTATACAATTAGGTTAATAATGGTACCTACTTCCAAGGGATATTTTGAAGATTACATAAGATAATCATGTATAGAATATTCTGCATGGTGCCTGGTACACAGGTCAATAAATGTTTGCTATCACCATCATTATTTTTTTTTTTAAAGATTTTATTTATTTATTTGACAGAGAGAGACACAGTGAGAGAGGGAACACAAGCAGGGGGAGTGGGAGAGGGAGAAGCAGGCTTCCTGCCGAGTGGGGAGCCCGATGCGGGGCTCGAACCTAGGACCCTGGGATCATGACCTGAGCTGAAGGCAGACGCTTAATGACTGAGCCACCCAGGCGCCCCTCACCATCATTATTTTATTGTTTTGTTCACAGATAAGGTGAATACTATTTACTTCACTGTTTCACCTGGAATACATTAGGGCTATTAAATAAGGGGAACATACTATTAATAAAATTAATTAATAAAATATTGCTTCATGTAAGAGATTCATATGTGGTCCATAAGTTTAAAGTAACCCATTTTTTTTTCAATCATCCAGAATGTATAGCTATTTAAGTGATAAACATCCCAGTTTTGTAAAACTTACTGTATTTTTGAAGTATAGTTTAAAATTGAGCATTATTTTCATGTATCTGGAATTTCACTAACCAAACACCTCAGTTTGCATCATATTCTGGACATGGAATCAATGCTTCAGAAGAAAATGAATTTAGTAGAAGATGGATTCCAATTTGTATTCTCATACAATGACATATAACTACCCAGGCTGTATTATATAAAACTCCCACAATAAAATATTTGAAGATACGGACTGTATCCTTATATACTTCAGAATGCAAAATGTAATCTATAGAATAAAATTATTAAATCTTTGTAGATTTTTGAAATTTGCATGAATTCATTTTATAACAAAAATTTAAGATTATTGTTTATAGATAAAATTTCAAACATGACAGTAATATTCTGAACAAAGTTTCTAATTAAGTAAAAAAACCTTTTCTTAATATTGCCTTAAAAATATTTCATGATGGGGGCGCCTGGATGGCTCAGTCATTAAGCGTCTGCCTTTGGCTCTGGTCATGATCCCAGGGTGCTGGAATCGAGCCCCGCATCGGGCTCCCTGCTCCGCGGGAAGCCTGCTGCTTCTCCCTATCCCACTCTCCCTGCTTATATTCCCTCTCTGGCTGTCTCTCTCTCTGTCAAATAAATAAATAATTTTTTAAAAATCTTAAAAAAAATTCATGATGAAAGTGTAAAGAATAACACCACACTCATGGATCTACAGACCACCTTAAAATATAAAACATTATAAATACATTTGGAACCCTTCTATACCTTTCTCCCTATTCTTTTATTTTTAGAGTTTAGAGTTAGATGTCTCTTATTTTTAGAGTTTAGAGTTAGATTCATGTCTTTATACTTTTACTATAGATGCATGTATACCTAAATATATAGTACTTTTTAAAATACATTTTTACAGTCATAAATGGTACTATTCTGATTCCAACTTTCTTTTTTACTTAATGTTTTGTTTGTGAGAATCATCAGAGTTGATATGTATAGCTCTAGAATATTTGTATTGGGTGTAACATTCTATTGTAAGGAATTTATTTCTTATGATGATAGATCTTTGGGTGTTGTTTTTTTCTTCTTTTGCAATGTTGCTTTTATGATCCTTATATACATGTCATTTTTAGCACATGTGCAAGAGTTTCTTTAGGGTTTAAAACGGGGAGTGCTATTTCTGGGTTGCACATTTTCAACTTTACTATTAATTACAAATTGTTCTCCAAAGGAGCTTTACCAGTGCAGTTAAGAGAGTTCTTTTTGCTTTACAATGCAGTCTATACCAGTGTCAGCACTTTATGATGGCTGTCTTTTTGCCAGTCTGATGGGTGTGAAGTGATATCTCATTATTTCTGTTTTTCCTCAGATCTTTTTATATGTAAAAATAAAACAAAAAAGAGATTTGAAAACAGCCAGGTCAGTAGTCTTATCTCCTCCTTGTGTTTTAATTTGCATTCTATAATTACTAGAGATTGAGGATCTTTTCCGGTTTATTGCCATGTGGAGTTCCTTTTCTGTTAATTGTGGCTTCTTATATTTTGCCCATTTTTCCTTATGGGTTGTTTTTTTTTTTTTTAAAGATTTTATTTATTTATTTGACAGAGAG